ACAGCGTCTGTTAGCCTTGATATGAAGCGACTAAGTGCCGCTACCCGCCCGTTCAGACTCATGACCTGCTTTTTGCTGGTCGGGCTCCCATATCAAGCAGAGCTTGAATCTTCTCGGGGTTCATTTCTATGCCCGCTGATTGACCATATATCCCAGGAACTTTCCTGATGATACCCCAATGAACATTTGAGAGTTCAGCTTCATTCTGTAGAGTCGAGTATGTCAAACATCTCTGCGAGATGCGCAATATGTTCTGAGGCGACCTGGGATTTGACCACATGTCATCCACTAGACCTCTATTGTCCTCCCGATCTGGTCGGAGAACATTCGATTGACCAACCTCTGATAGGTCGCACCCGCATTCTTGAGGCCGAAGGGCATAACTTTGTAACAGTATAGCCCCCGTCTGTAGAAGGTCGTATGCTCCTCATCTGGTCTATACATCGGGATTTTTTGTATCCCGAGTACGCATCCATGAAGCTAACACTCATGTCCCGAGGTGGCATCAACGAGCTAGTCATTCTAGGCAGGGGAAGTTGTCTTTCGGGCAAGCTTTGTTGAGGTCGCTGAAGTCACGCAGGTCCCCACTTGCCATTCGGCTTCTTTACCAGGACCGGGTTGGAAACCCAGGTCGGGTAGAGAGCCTCACGAATAGATCCATGGAGAAGGCTCTCCACTTCTGATTTTGTGTGGCGTACCGCTCCGGATCCATCGCCCTTCTTTTTTGGCGAACTGCTTGGCTTCACTGCTGACTTCAATGGATGGCAAATATGTCCAGGCTGATCCCAACTATATCTGCGTGCAACCAGGCAACACGTCAATGTTCTCCTTTAAGAAGCTTACCAGCTCGGAAGCAAGCTTTGGGTTAGACACTTCCAATCCTTAACACTCGGCTCGACTCGCTCGCTCTTCGGATCGACCGAAACCTCAGATATACCTCAACCGGGCCGCTGGGGAGGATTTCTGGATTCGTGGATCTATGTTATCCTCCGCTGGACCAGGCTGTGGCTCGATCCGACTGATCGCCATACCTGCGGGGCACACATCGCGAAATGCCCTTACTGCCATCTGTATCGCTTTTACATAGCATTCGCGAGATGCGCTTTGCGATCCGCTTACTTCCCCGATCCCCGTTGGAGTGGGGAACTTCATCTTGAGGTGATAAATGGAAGTGACTGCCCGAAGGTTCACGCAAGGTCGCCCCAAGATTCCATTAAAGGCCGACGGGCAGTCCACGACCAAAAATTCAGTAACCCCAGTCACCTCGTCGTAGTCGCCGAGCGTGACTGGTAGCTGGATCGTCCCTTTGGGGATCAGTGATCCCCTGTAAAACCGTATAGAGGCTTCGAGGCTGGCTTTAGGTCGGCCTCGACCAGGTTCATTCTATCGAAAGCGGACTTGAACAGTGTTCACAGCGCTTCCGTTGTCTACAAGCATTCTGCAGACATTATGACACCCTATCATGGGCGTGATCACCAGGGCATCCTCATGAGGATGGTGCAAGCGAGTTGCCTCCTTCTCGCAGAAGGTGTTGGTTCCTCCTTTCTGGCTTTTTGAGGTCGCTGCGAAGTGTTCATTCCCCTGATCGGGTCATGATGCGCTTTGCGAGCATACCTTTCCTGCTCTCCTCGCGTGTTTCCAGCGAGGTGCGGCCCTCCGAAAATTATGTTCACATTGATGTACCCGCTGCGATCAAGACGCTTTTTCTTTTGCTCCCTTGGTTTTCTTTTGGGAGTCATCAATGTACTCCTTGAAGTGCCCCTTCTTGATGACTCTTCGATGGCCGCTTTGAGCTCGGCATTCTCCAGTGTGATGCTCGTTATCCCGATGTAACGACAGTATTTTTTGCTGTTTCTGCCCGTAGCAGGAGTTTTCATTGGTTCGGGCTCACCGAGCAAGCTGGCCTCCTCAGATTTGTCGAGGATTGCAGATATGGACACGTTCAGCGGAGTGTATTGAGTCTTGTCGCGGTCGCGACGAGGAACAGGAGCATAGGATTTTTTCTGCTCGTGCGGGTTTTTCTCCCTTTTCGCTGATCTCAATGTCTCCTTTGCGATCAGCTCTCCTATTATCTCCCCGACCAGACATACTGCTGGAAGTGCCGTGATCGCGACGGCGGATGCCGCCAATGAGTTCTCTATTCGGAGATACTTTTCTGCCAGGTTGTAGAATCTGGTGAGGGAAATATCATCCTCAGCCTGCAGTTCTTTCCACAGGTCGGTTTGCAGCGAACTCCAGCTATTATAAGTGTTCGGATGGACTCTTCTGGCGGTGGGCCACCTTGTTAAGTTCCCTATGGATCGGTCAATGTAAGATTGCAGGGATTCGTCTCTTTCTTGCCTTATGTTGCTGAGGTAGCTCAAAGGCATCGAAAACTTCCGATTGCTTGGAAATGCCGCAGGAACGTCGTGCTCGTCTAAGGCCACGAACTGATCGATCCGCCGGGAGCGACCTTAACCACCGCTTGGCGTGAGAAGTCAGCTCACGGCCAACAACGGCATTTTGCGAGGTCCGAAACCTGGTGGAGCTCCACAGGTCGTTGAACTCATATAAGTGATCCTGAGGATCATAGTTCCCATCAAACGGCCGTATATCTGGCATTCTGAACCCTGGTGGAAGTGGAGCAGCTAGCACTTCGGGAGAAAAAGGGGATGCAGAGGCGACCTGCGCCTGTTCGTTTTGCTGCTCCTTCAACCTGTCCAGAGCTCGCTGTAACTCCTCAATTCATGGTAACGGAGCCATTGGGGATTGCTTTCACCCGTGCGAGTCCGGCCTTCTCGATTGCGGTTCAGGAAGGTCCGGAGGTCGGATCCTCCTCACCCGACCAGCATTTTCGGCCGCACTCGACACACGCTGACTAGAGGCGTGTGAAGGCGGTGGATTATGCAGGCATTTTCACGACCCTCGCGGTGGTACGAACCGCCCCGCGAGGTGTGAGGGTCACCGCATGATAACGATTGGGTCGTTCTGCTGGTGGTGATAGGAATCATCGCGCCCAGTATTTCGCTTGGGTTTGCCTGCACGTGGCATGGGACAGCTCGGATTCACTCTTTCGCCGAGTTCTCAGCTTTGCCGATACCGGCTCGGGGCACTTTTGTGTTTCGCTGGTCCTTGGGAGCCCGTAGGCTTACTTTTTGCCACTTGCTTACCCTTGCGCCTACGCGCTGCAGTGCTCGCGGCACGGTATTGCCTTTGCCGCGCTTGCGCGCACCTACAGGCGTCTTTGGCGGTTGCACCGCCCTAGCTGTGGTAGATGACATGTCTTGTTCCAAACGGTCCAACCTTTGGTTGACGTCTGGAGAGTATTGTCGAACCTCTTCAGGTAGTTTCTGATGGCAGGGTCAGTTGTGAGCTGCCGGGACATCCCCTGCAGCATTTTGTGAAACTGGAACTTCTTCGTACGCTGATTAGCTTGCTCTGGCTCAGATTGGCGGGCCATTTGCTGTTGTAGGACCAGTAGGTCAAAGATTCTCCTGATGAAGGGTAGACACTAAATCAGCCCTCCTTCTAGCGCCAAACTGTTGATGCTTGATTTTGGGCACCAACTAACTGATACGTGTGCAGCGTTGATTGATCAAAAAGCACACGTGAAAGTGATATAAAAAGCGAAATAAATGCATGAGAGTTTTTAAAGTGGTTCGGATGCCAGGAGCAAGTCCTACTCCACTGATTTGTATGATATTGATGTGGGTCAGGTCGCACAGCGACTGACTTACAAAAGGTTGGAAATAGATACAAAAGCGAGAGAGAGAGAGGTTTTTTTGTAAAATTGTCGAATCCCCTTAATGAAGGGGTCTTCCTCTTCTTATACCCAGTTGTATGTCTGTAACATCACTAAATCCTTGGTTGGTGTGATTGTCAGGACCTAATCTGATTTTACGTCCCACTACCCATTTTCCAAGCCGATTTCACTCGATTTGGAGCAAGCTAGTGGACACGTGGGAGCACCAGGCGTTTGGCAGGCCTGACGTGCGCTTACCGTTCTGACGGGAGCAGGCCACGTTTCGTCACGCAACTCCACGTCAGCCTTTGATTTCTTAGTCATAACACATACTTTGTTAATGCTTCATGAACACAAATTATATTCTCACAATTAATACTAACGCCTGTTTGTCTATTCTTACTTCAGAAGTGAACCTCGACTACTATCAAATCACAGTTTGTTTCAGATCAAAGAAATCCTTTTGCACCAATTACATCTTCAATGGTAAGGATGTTCTTTTAGTATCAACTTATGCTTTCTGTCATAAAACAGTATTCACAGAAGTAATATTGTTGGTCATGGTTCTTTACTTTAGGCACAACTCAACTACTACCCAATCACAATCTGGTTTTGATCCAAGATATAAATTTCCAGATGATAATTCTCCAATGGTAGGTGTTTGTATACCTTTATGGTAGTTTTAATTACTGTCATTTTTACAATAGTGCATGAACAAAAATATAAAAAAATATTCTCACAATTACGTCTTGTTTGTTCTAGATTCTTACTTTAGGAGGTAGAATCTCGACTACTATCAAATGCATTTGGTTTCTGATGATCAAGAGAATCATTTTGCGCCATTACTTCTTCAATGGTGATGATGCCATGGCTTATGGTTGCTTTTAGTATCACTATTCACACAAGTAAAACTTGTTTGTCGGATCTTTACTTTAGGTAACCTCAGCTACAATCAATCACAGTAAGGAATTTGATCCAAGAAATCATTTTGTGCCGAATACTTCTTCAATGGTAAGGATACATGTGCTTTAAAATTTTGTTTAGTATGAGCATATACATATATATATATATATAGTACATGAACATATTATCACATATAAATCTAATGCTTGTTTGTATATGATTTTTACTTCAACCTCACTACTACCCATCAAATTTGGATTCTTTAATGTGAGGATGAATATGCTGTTGTTGTTTCAGTATTAACTTATATTGTGCATGAAAAATATTCACTCAACTAATGCTGTTTGTTTTATAATTTTTACTTCAACAGGTAAGACCTCAACTACTATCAAATCACAATATGGTTTTTGATGCAATGAATCATTCTGCACCATGTACTTCTTCAATGGTGAGGATGAACATGCTGCTTGTTCTTAGTAATTCATGTTTGTCTGTTTTAAATTTTTACTTCAGCAGGTGGAACCTCAACTACTATCAAATCAAAATATGGGTTTTGATCCAATAAATCATTCTGCATCAATTATCTCTTCAATGGTGAGTAGCACATGACTCATAGTAGCTTTTAAATCAACTTATATATGGATGTGGTGCATGAATAACAGATTCGCAGTGGACTAATGCTTGTCTATCGATGTTTCTCATTTATAGCAGGTAGAATCTTAGCTACTGTCAAATCACAATTTCTTTTCTGATCCAAGAAATCATTTTGCGCCAAATACTTATTTAATGGTGAGGATAAGCATGCTACACATATATTTGGTGCTTATATAAAAAACTTATTTACACAACTAATGCTTGCTTTGTCTTCTGTTTCATATTTCAGGAACATCCTCAACCAGTTGCAGAATTATTTGCACAATTCACTGCAATATTTGGGCGGTATTTGCTGAATTACAGCTCAGTATCCGCACCAGTGGCCAATTAATCCACAAGGATCCTATTCCTCCTTGTACTCAAACGGCGCCTCTGGTAGTAACTATACTTTGAGCTCTCAGTTTCATGGAGGGCTTGAAGATGCCTGGATTGCACAAAGGAATTTCCAGGATAAATATCCTGAAGAAGCAACTGGACAAGACTCTTCCTACTGATAACATCAACACTTTCATGGATGAGCAATCTGTAGACATTCCTCTTGATCTCAATTAAATTCTGGGGGAGAATATTATTATATTATTATTGACATTTCAAGAATGGTTTACTCATCTTTAACTTTGTATCAGTGTTATGTAATCGTTTGCGAATGAACTCATTTTCATATTTAATAGAATGGGTACATGAGCTCCAAATACTTGGAGCATCTTTAATGGGAATGAATGTGATAGGAATCCACACTCCAACAACTCAAATGGGGCCTCTTTAATGGGAATGAATGTGATAGGAACCCCCAACAACTCAAACAATTAAGCTGAACGAGTCCCTTATAGACTTAAGTAGAACTATCCTTTGAAAACCGACATGTCAAGAGAGGGTGACCAAGCCCTTTATAACCCACATACTCACCCTTTTTCCTTAAAAGGTGGGATCCTAACAGAATGCTTATTTAAATTGAAGAACTAACAATGAAGTATTCATCTATCATATATATTTGTAGGCATCTCATAGCAAGGTAAGGTCTTATATATATATATATATATAGAAAAGATTTGTTTAAAAAGCTTCATGCTGATATTATCCTTGTAAGGAAACTTTTCATAATGCTGCATCATTAATGAACCACAGATCATTCTTACTGCTAATCCTCTTTCATAATTTCACATTTGTTATAAACTCCTAGATAACAAGTCTCACATATCAGTGCTCGATCTGTGAAGTTGTCATCTACTGCTTAGGTGATGTCAACTGCCTCAGATTGCATTTCAATAACTCCTTGTACTTCTCAACGACCCCGATCATGCACACGGTCTAAAAAATTATATAAAAAGCACATCAGGTTCATCACGGTTAAAAGGATGCAAAAATTAGTTTGTCCACACAGAATAGATAAATAAAAGAAAGAGAAAATTGCAGACCTGATATTTTTTTTCAGGAAACCATGGTAAATGAAGCATGAAAACGAAAAGCTTGATAACTATGGAACCATTCACATTCTAATGGAAGCATGAAAATGAAAAGTTCCTCACCTTGACAATTTCAACTATAATTGTCTTGTCAGGATTGCTAAGATCAACCTTATGAGGTGCAGGAACAGATTTAGCCACTGAATTTATTATTTTCATCCTGTCAATTCCGGTGTTTGCACGAGCCTCATACAACACAGCAAACTGCAGAGAACAGGTGAAAGGTTACAGACCATCCCAACACGTATAATAGATTTCAACTCTTAGTGCTGTATATGATAAGTGAAATTTGGATCAGAGCTCCAAATCTTATTGCGAACTAGCAGTTGTGATAAACCCTGGTGTTTACATTTTATAACTTTTTTAGCTTTTCTATTATAATCAACCAGGAGGGAATCTAGACGAGGCAAACTACGATTAAAACTAGGATAAGTAAGTAGAAAAAGAGCTTATCTTAAACAATTTGGCATGTCAGTATCCCACTATTAATCAGCAAAACAGGGGAAAAAATACGGACAATGTCTCGAAAAATAGGTATTTATTTCTGTAAACAAATATTATATGCAAAGATATTTCCGTTTCCTAGATCAACTATATGAAAATTTTCAAGAAAAATTGGAGAAAAATCATAATATGATTAACATGAACAGAAAAATAAGCAATTAAATAAAATTTACAAAGATTGTGCCTTTTGAGGGTTTTGAGTCTCCACTGGAAAATACTGTTCCACAAGAGGTTTGATTGCTCTTTGAATTTCCTCCTCTGAAGCATAGCATGACACTTCAACTGGTAACACTCTTAAGATGAACCTTTAGAATAAGAAACAAAAGAAAAAAAGCTAAGTAATTTATTCCACCGACAAAAATTAGGTTTTCTTACGTGCACATTCTTATATGATTTAAAGGAAACAATGTACTGAACCTTGAGACTGGTTTCCTTGTCGACTTAGCAGATGTCATCATGTGCTGTACAATGTCTTTTGGGCCAGGGTCTCCATCTCTCTTCCGCATTTGAATGATGGCAACACCATTACAGCCTGAATCAAGGTTGACAAAGCGCCTCTGTTTAAACAGGATAACAATCATCAGTTTACAGAAAATTACAGACTTTGAAATATGAAAAACAATAAATATTTAAGTAGTATATTTTCCATTTACTCAATAGAGTAAGGCCTATAAAATAGTGAACTTATTACTCTTTTTCACACAATTTACAGTGATAAATGAGATGTACTAATCATAAACGAAGAGGTAGATTAACTATTTTTGAACTTCCAGACACCAAGAATAACTTAGTAAATTTACATATTTTTTGTCCAATTCACTTCTGCATATATTTAAATCCTCGTTGATGATTAGCAAAGCAGGAATGCCTTTGAAATCTGTAGGTCAGCTCATTGGATTTTAGTGAATTATGCGTAAAAAGGAGGCCGAAATAGTAGAAAATATCAATTTCAACTTCTTAATAAGGTAAAAAAGCGGCAATCCCAATCTCTAACACAAAAAAACATTTTCTTAAAATAGGAAAATACATCTATCTTTGAAATGTGTATCAAATATGACTAAATAAACATACAGGCTTAATCAACTCACTGGCAGCTAATTTACTCACCTTACTTTTGTCCCCAAGTTCTTTAAGCTCAGCTTCAATGAGTTTGTCAATGGACTTCTCCTCCACTTTTTCATTCGGCGCAGGTTTCGATGCTTCAGGTTCTAAGCACTGCTTCTTGGCCGGTGGCTCCTCAGACTCATTTGCTTGACTTTCAGGATTTTTATCTTCCTCTTTATTTTCGCCAGTCATTCCCTCAATTTCATTTCCACTGCAAACATTATTGGAATCATGAGGATCTGACTTCTCATTTGTTAAATTTTCCTGCCTTGTATCATCGTCTCCACAAGAATCTGATTGCTTCCCTTCTCCCTTCCCCCCTTCTCCCCCCTCTGTCTCCTCTCCTGCCACCAGAACCTCACCCTCCTCCTCCCCCTCCTCCTCCCCTGCTTCCCTTCTCCCTTCCCCCCTTCTCCCCCCTCTGTCTCCTCTCCTGCCACCAGAACCTCACCCTCCTCCTCGTCATCATCATCCTCCTCATCACTACTAGAAGATGCAAATACAATCTTTTTATTCAAAGGTTTATTCGGTATCCCAGCAAGGTTCTTACCAGAAACCTTCTCATTGACCAGCTCGTCAAAAAACTACAAGACAACAAAGCCAGAAGCTCATTTCTTTTAGAATAAATCAGTATAAATTTTAATGCTACCGAAAAGAAAGCACAAAACATTAAGATTAACCAGTGTCAACCACAAGAATTAGAAAATATCACTTTTACAAAATAATCTCTACAGCAGAATGTGTCCCTAAGCCAAAACATACGCTTTTTTTTCCGAATTTCTTTGCTTTCATCTTCTTATAACAAAAACTATTTGTCCATTTCATATTTCGTGACAGTCCAATTCCCAAAACTAAAACCAACACGATATTTTCAAGCTGAAACACAAACATCAATCATACTACAGCAGAAACAAAACTATATTGACCAAATATATCAAAAGTAACGAAGGTAAAAGTAATTAAGGATTCTACGAACCCGCAAGATCATAACTTTAACACTCAACATCCTATTCGATCATGGTAGTACCACAACCAATAACTGATAAATGTTACCAGCGCGGTAATGTTACCGGACCACTAACATAATGCTCAACAACTAAACCCTAAACCAACACAATAGTCAAGCTGAAACACACAAACACCTATCATACTGCAAAAGTAACAAAACTTTAATAAAAAATACATCAAACGCGATTCAGGTAACACTAATTAAGGATTTTACTGAACCCCAAAATCATAACTTTAACGCAGAAAGTCCAAATTGTAACTTTCAACTGAATCTGAATTACGTGACCGATAAATATAGAAATTTTGCGCGCGGTAAAATTAACGGACCGGTATCATAAAGCTCCAAAAACTGAACTTAGTAATGAAAAATCAGGAATACCCAAATATAAAAAAAAAAAAAAAAAAAGAGAGAGAGAGAGAACATACAGAATCAATAACGAAAAGAGCCTCGTGAGCAGCTTGGCGTTCCCGGCCACCATCACAGGTGATGAAGAAGCCTTGAACTCCGGGTCTCAAAGGGTAGGCTCCTTTCTTCTTCACGGGTTTGTTGTGAGGGAGAAAATGCTTTCTCTTCTTGCCATTGAAGTTGGTGCTGTTGCCTCCATTCTTGGGTTTGTTTTCAGCCGCCATGGAAGCACTCTCAAAGCACTGTATTTCGTATGATATTATGGTAACTGTTTATTTTGGAACTCTGCTTGTGTTTCGGACTTCGTGGGAGAGAAAAAAATTTCTGTTTTTCTTTTAAATAATTTTACAAATGAATTTTTTTTAATTTTTTTGGATAGAATTATATTTCCACACGATTTTTTTAAAATAAATTTCAACTTTTTCATTAAAAAAAATGAAGTTATACATATTTTAATTTTATATTATCCTATTTGTATTTTTTGTAAAGAAATCTCTTATCAGTGTAAAATAAAATTCATTTTGCATCATGTCTAAAGGATTTCTTTGTTCGAACAGAATAAACAATGTCACTCGATCGTTATCAAACTGTAATCTTTTTCTGTCTATGAAGATTGAGGATCCCACCTGAACGTCTTCTACTTTTAATAAGCCCTGAATTGTATCAAAATAATTCTCTACGAATCCAAAAAAAGTGATCCATTTTTTCATTGAATTTAACGTAGGACCAATCGTCTAGAGCAACCAATCTTATAAAAGAACTAAAAAGATAAAAAAGTATCAGTTAATTTTTCATGCTGCGATATCAAATTCAAAAGTACCTAAAAACTTTTTTTTGAGTTAAAAGTTAAAAAATATATATATATATATATATATATATTATGATTTTAGGTTTTTTTTTTAATTTAAAGCTTTCACAAATTTTCTTTTTTCATTTATTTTTTTTATACCAAAATTTTCTTTTATCAATAAATAAAGTGATTATTATTGTTTTTTTTTAATCTATTTATTATTTAGCTTTATTTTCTTTATCGTCACATAATAAAATAAAAATTGAAAAGGGAAATAATTTTTAGTGCCCCGCTAAAATTTTCTTCACCCCAATTTTTGAATTTATTTTTTTGTTTTGATAATTTTAACTTAATTTAAATTAATAGAAATAACATTATAATTTCTAAATATACTCATACTTTATTTTATATTTTTGTTTTAATTTTTAACATTTAATTTTATATAAACCATAACACTGAATTTCATAACCTAATTCTATTTTTTTATAATCATTTTGTTTTGTTTTAAATATTTGTGTGTTTGATAAAAATATAAACCATAACCCTGAATTTCATAACCTAATTCTATTTGGTTGAAAATCACTTCCCAATTAGAAAAGCTTTGAAAAGCCACATACAAGCCCAAAATAAGCCCATTCATGACTCATGTTACATACCAAAATGGGCCTAATGAAAAACCCATTTACCAAATTGAGCTCAAAATAAAACCCATTATAAATCCAGAGCAAAACTGAATGTGGCAAATAATTAAAGATTAATACTACACCTACAATCTCTTCTCACAAATTTTCTTTCACAAACTTTTTTTCACAATCCCGACGTGATAACTCACCATTGATCAATCATAATTTATCAAATGGGAGTCAGGTGAGGCCCATTACGAACTGACCAATTACGAACTGTCACGTCGGGATTGTAAGAAGAAGTTTGTAAGAAAAGATTGTAGGTGTAACATTTTCTATAATTAAAACCCCAAAAATAATGTCACAAATCACTATCAAATCAAATTGGTCCAAGGAATGGACCAATCCTATTGCTGGACTTCCCCCACTTATCAGATATCACAATAATGAGGAAGCACTTGGAAATTGACCTCAAAATTATGAAGTTGGTGGAGGCTGAGAGGTCAACTTATGAAAAAGAGTTTGATTTCAAAAGGAAATGGTGGCCAAAGAAAATGAACCAAATCAAATCATTGATGACACAAACAAAATTAGGGTTAGAGGAAGGCTGACAAATGTCAGTGGGCATTTGGGGAAAATACACTAATGAAGCCAAGAGAAAGGGCAAATTCATTGGTGGGGAAGCCAATATATGACAATTGATGATGGGTTGTAAAGGTGAGATATGCACAAAATGAAATGGTCCCTATAACCTAGTACCCACATAGCAAGCTTCTGACCATTGTTGTTTTTGCCTAAAAGGGTTGTCGTACCACAGTGGTCGTATTAGGTATACAAGTGATACAATAATATCATGTGGCAAAAACTGTCGCAGCCGGCAACGTTGCCGGGTCATTGTAGGCTTTTCCCTACCTTGCAATGTCAATCCAAGTGAGTAGAATTTCAAGTCATCAAAATAAAAAGAATATTTCATTTTTTTGATAAGCAAAGAACATTTTCACATTGCCAGCTTCACTATACAATGACCTTTGAAGAAGAGTATGTAAAAAACATTGAGGATACAATGAGAGGCCAAACTTTTTGAGAAAAGATAAAAACTTGAAGGGGCAGACCTTTTTTTTTCTTTCCCACATATAAAAAGATATCATATTTTGGAAAATGAATTCTACATTTACAGGAGCTATATGTATATATAAATAATCATATATATATTTATAGCGGCTGTACGGTATCGGTATCAGTATCGGTATCGACACTATTGGATGATGAATATGAGGCTGCTAAAATGGCTGCTCCAATGCCTGAACCATCTTCTGTTTCCTTAAGAATGACATGTTGGGCAATTTCTTCACCCAGAATTTCAGTCAAGGCTTCATGCAAGTACTCTCTGAACATTGTGTAATTTGTGTATAACCCTCCTTCAATGGCAACAACAGTTCTTCTCATTTTCACATCACTTCTAGTTCTCCCACTTGTTATGCCACCACTCCCGTCGCGCCCGATCTTCTTCAAGATCCCGACGATGCCAGCAGCTGCTAATCGAGCAGCTCTACGCGTTACCACATCACATATTTTTACGACAAGCTTTCTGACCTTTAAAGGGACATCTGAAATCTGAAAGGAAAGATAAAGCAAGCAAAAAAAAAAAATCGGGTTTTAACCAAGTCATCCCATTGACTAAGAAACATGTTGGGACAAGAAACCCAAGGAAAGAGACAAGCAACTCATCTACCTCCAGAACCTCTCTCAAGATTCCTGCTACTACTGTCAACTCAGGAGAGCCATCTTCATGCATTGCAGCCATTAAAGGTGTCCTGAAATCAATACAAAGAAAGAATCAAACTTTATTGAATAATTGTGTGGCTATAATATAGACTATACCACTCATCATATTGAAAAAGCAACTAGAAAATTTTCACCCGCAAATAAGTATCCAATTAGATTACTCTAAAATGTCGCCTTCTCGCATTGCAAAATGCAACAAACAACAGTAGATTAAATATTGTTTTAGATTAAATATTGTTTTCTGTTATTTTTCACCCATTTATTGTTACACTGCTCTCAAGATAGTGAAAGAATTTGGGCCATGAAGAGACCAGTGAAAGTTGGAAAATTATAAGTGAAGTTGAAAGGACATGGTAAGAACTAGAGGCCTTTTGAATATATTTCCAAAGAAAATGAGTGGACAGTGGGGAATTTCATCCTTATGAGGGTTCTTTCTTGAGGTAGGTTAAGTTTTCCTTCACTTACTGCTCCAATATATCAAATGTGATACCTAAATTCCAGAGAGAAGCAACCAAAAAGGAAGAGCTTATGGTAAAAAACAGAATTTGACTCAAACATGAAACACTACAATTTGATTCATGTTTTCATATAAACTTGAAACTTTTCGTGAGACAGGAAGCAAATAAAGTATGAAAGACACATACCTGAGGATAAAAGGCACTGATAACCTGGAAGAATCGGGTCCAAAGATATCAGACTCCTGTGACATCTTGAGAATCACTCTTCTAACAATATCACCCAAATACATTCCAGATATCATTTTCTCAAAACCCTGCAGCCAAGTACCAAAAGATTGGAGCAAGTCCTTCAATTTAATCTAACAACAAAACTCATAAATGAACCTTACCATATCATACGGATTAGGACTATCGGCATCTAAATCAATATCATATGAAGTTCTAGGCAGATGAGATGACCAGAAATTTCCCCATTCCATATTGACAACCTACAAAAGAAAAACAGAAACTTATTACAAGTGTAAATACATGGAGATACAGATTTATATTCCCTCTAACAAAGCACGGGATGATGTGTAACTGAGACAAAAGAAAGGATACCATGCCTCCAGAAGTTGTAAGAAGTCCCTGGCACTTGATAATTGCATCTGTCCGCTCCACATAGCAGGCATTAGAGCCTGTTCCAATTATCACTGCAGCAACAGTGTCCTCATCATGATAATGCCCAAGAGCTAAAGTCCCCACAGTATCATTTACCTGCTCAGAGTAAATCAAAAGAGAAAAGTATGCCTATGACCCTCTTTCATAAGATAAAAAGGAGAAGCATGTTCAACCACATTTTTTCAACTTGTTAATGGTTTGTTAGAAGTGTAGGCCATGGTAAATTCAGAGATATTTTTTTGTCAATTAATTAATGCAATAAAGAGAAAGGCTGTAGTAATCTTTATGGGAAAGTTAGAATATTAGTTCCCTCCAACTAATTGTTTTTTGTACATCAAGTTTATGTGTAATATATATTCAACAATGATGGTCTTAAATAACCCATAAGAGAAGTACCGCAATAACTATAAAGCAAACTTATGAAAATTCGTCAAAACCAAACGCTATGGCTTTTTTGTCAATTTCTGCTCACAGTAAAATTCTAATTTGTTTGTACAACTGTCTATGGAAGGCAGAGCAGATCTTGAGAGATCTTTAAATTCTAAAATTACATTACCATTCTTGGCCTAATAAAACTAAACAAAGTGATTAAGTTATAGAAGAATTTTATATTCAGGGTATACAGGACCAAAAGTCTCATCTTTTATGATAATAATGTGTGATAAATTTCAGATCTGTGTTTGAATGTCAATAAAATAAATTTTACAGTAGAAAGTAATGCCTTATGTTTTGTTCAAGGACCTGGATTATTTAAGCCACATGACCATTATAAAAATGTTGAATACCATTAAGAACAATCAAATTTCGATGATAACTAGAACTGTTTCAGGTAAAGCAATAATCCATCAAATTTCAAGTGTTAACGACTATGACAACGCATTATTTGGGCTTCTAAGACATGTTTGCGGCTTTTTTTTTTTTTTTAATCCTTTGTCAACTTTACTTCTTTTATTTAGCTCCTCCTTTTGCATTGCCTTATTAAAAGGCATACGCCAGAGTATCATCCCAACTCAGCTTGGCTAATCCTTTATCCAGACATCAATATAGCCCCAAGCAAAATCAATTTTTTTAACGTTTAAATGAACCCTAAAAATTGTAAAAAGTCCATAGAAAAAACTTGAATACGTGCTTAAAACTGAAGAATAGAAAAAGTTCATTGAGAAAAAGGACAAAGTTCTTACCAATACTGCCACCCGCATATCTAAACCTTTCCTAATCAATGCTTCTTGTAAGTACTGGGCGACTTCCTTTTCAACCTACAATGAGTTGTGCATTATATGAGTCAATGCTAATATCTGTCCTCAATTACGTAAGTACAGAAGAAGAAATACTCCAGATTATTATTTGTATGATGACAATATTCTNATCAATACAAAGAAAGAATCAAACTTTATTGAATAATTGTGTGGCTATAATATAGACTATACGACTCATCCTATTGAAAAAGCAACTAGAAAATTTTCACCCGCAAATAAGTATCCAATTACATTACTCTAAAATGTCCCCTTCTCGCATTGCAAAATGCAACAAACAACAGTAGATTAAATATTGTTTTAGATTAAATATTGTTTTCTGTTATTTTTCACCCATTTATTGTTACACTGCTCTCAAGATAGTGAAAGAATTTGGGCCATGAAGAGACTAGTGAAAGTTGGAAAATTATAAGTGAAGTTGAAAGGACATGGTAAGAACTAGAGGCCTTTTGAATATATTTCCAAAGAAAATGAGTGGACAGTGGGGAATTTCATCCTCATGAGGGTTCTTTCTTGAGGTAGGTTAAGTTTTCCTTCACTTACTGCTCCAATATATCAAATGTGATACCTAAATTCCAGAGAGAAGCAACCAAAAAGGAAGAGCTTATGGTAAAAAACAGAATTTGACTCAAACATGAAACACTACAATTTGATTCATGTTTTCATATAAACTTGAAACTTTTCGTGAGACAGGAAGCAAATAAAGTATGAAAGACACATACCTGAGGATAAAAGGCACTGATAACCTGGAAGAATCGGGTCCAAAGATATCAGACTCCTGTGACATCTTGAGAATCACTCTTCTAACAATATCACCCAAATACATTCCAGATATCATTTTCTCAAAACCCTGCAGCCAAGTACCAAAAGATTGGAGCAAGTCCTTCAATTTAATCTAACAACAAAACTCATAAGTGAACCTTACCATATCATACGGATTAGGACTATCGGCATCTAAATCAATATCATATGAAGTTCTAGGCAGATGAGATGACCAGAAATTTCCCCATTCCATATTGACAACCTACAAAAGAAAAATAGAAACTTATTATAAGTGTAAATACATGGAGATACAGATTTATATTCCCTTTAACAAAGCACGGGATGATGTGTAACTGAGACAAAAGAAAGGATACCATGCCTCCAGAAGTTGTAAGAAGTCCCTGACACTTGATAATTGCATCTGTCCGCTCCACATAGCAGGCATTAGAGCCCGTTCCAATTATCACTGCAGCAACAGTGTCCTCATCATGATAATGCCCAAGAGCTAAAGTCCCCACAGTATCATTTACCTGCTCAGAGTAAATCAAAAGAGAAAAGTATGCCTATGACCCTCTTTCATAAGATAAAAAGGAGAAGCATGTTCAACCACATTTTTTCAACTTGTTAATGGTTTGTTAGAAGTGTAGGCCATGGTAAATTCAGAGATATTTTTTTGTCAATTAATTAATGCAATAAAGAGAAAGGCTGTAGTAATCTTTATGGGAAAGTTAGAATATTAGTTCCCTCCAACTAATTGTTTTTTGTACATCAAGTTTATGTGTAATATATATTCAACAATGATGGTCTTAAATAACCCATAAGAGAAGTACCGCAATAACTATAAAGCAAACTTATGAAAATTCGTCAAAACCAAACGCTATGGCTTTTTTGTCAATTTCTGCTCACAGTAAAATTCTAATTTGTTTGTACAACTGTCTATGGAAGGCAGAGCAGATCTTGAGAGATCTTTAAATTCTAAAATTACATTACCATTCTTGGCCTAATAAAACTAAACAAAGTGATTAAGTTATAGAAGAATTTTATATTCAGGGTATACAGGACCAAAAGTCTCATCTTTTATGATAATAATGTGTGATAAATTTCAGATCTGTGTTTGAATGTCAATAAAATAAATTTTACAGTAGAAAGTAATGCCTTATGTTTTGTTCAAGGACCTGGATTATTTAAGCCACATGACCATTATAAAAATGTTGAATACCATTAAGAACAATCAAATTTCGATGATAACTAGAACTGTTTCAGGTAAAGCAATAATCCATCAAATTTCAAGTGTTAAAGACTATGACAACGCATTATTTGGGCTTCTAAGACATGTTTGCGGCTTTTTTTTTTTTTTTAATCCTTTGTCAACTTTACTTCTTTTATTTAGCTCCTCCTTTTGCATTGCCTTATTAAAAGGCATACGCCAGAGTATCATCCCAACTCAGCTTGGCTAATCCTTTATCCAGACATCAATATAGCCCCAAGCAAAATCAATTTTTTTAACGTTTAAATGAACCCTAAAAATTGTAAAAAGTCCATAGAAAAAACTTGAATACGTGCTTAAAACTGAAGAATAGAAAAAGTTCATTGAGAAAAAGGACAAAGTTCTTACCAATACTGCCACCCGCATATCTAAACCTTTCCTAATCAATGCTTCTTGTAAGTACTGGGCGACTTCCTTTTCAACCTACAATGAGTTGTGCATTATATGAGTCAATGCTAATATTTGTCCTCAATTACGTAAGTACAGAAGAAGAAATACTCCAGATTATTATTTGTATGATGACAATATTCTCTAACCCTTTTTTATAATAAACTCAATATTCTCTTACCATTCGAATTAATCATTATGAGAAAATACTAATCCAACTTAATTCAAGAAAGGTTTAACCTCTACTGTATCATAGCCAAGTCAAAACTCAATCCAAGCCATTGGGCTCAGACAATTTTCAATTAATGCTCCACCAAAACAAGCATTGAAACGTTTGTAGATGCACAAAGCAATGTAAAAAGAGCAAACACCATTTCGGTTCAAACATCAGAAAGAGATAATATAGTTTAACCAACAAAGCAATTGGCTTAGAGAAATTTTTCCTACAATTTTGGAGCATTTTAGAGTTCAATTATAAAATAATAATAATAATAACCAGTCAACTAACCATTTCTTCAATTGCGAATCCTTTTGTCCATTTGATAAGAATCCCAGACAACACGGAAGTCTGCCTTACAGGAAAGGAGAACGTAAACCCAAGTTCCTTCTTTTTTACAACAGAAGACTCAGAATCATTTCCTTCTTTTTCCACAAATTCCTTCACCGATGAAGCCATGAAATCGAAGAGGTCCTGCAGGCAATTAAACACATGTTTACTTTCAAAGATCAGTAGATGACAATATATGAAAGTTGTGCTGAAAGAAGTTAACATATAAGGTATAAATTAGTAATATATAAGGTAAAATTTGGTACCTCACTTGTGCCACACATCAAGTGCGGAGGAATGGGTTGCCGTTCCACATCCTTTGCTAGGATAGAGGACCCTTGACCTCCTAGCAAAACCCGCAAGACCCTAAAATTAGTACCCCCAAGATCCAGGGCATAATAAGTTCCTTTCTCGCTCCTGTTGACAAAAATTGCTTACAAATTTTACTAGTACCGCCTATGAGTGAATTAAAAATAAATATATAAAATTACATTACTCAAACAACAAGTGTAAAGATTGTAAAAACAGAATTTAACACCGGAAAATCACCGTATATTCTTCCTAGGTCATTATGAATGTAGTTACAGGTTTACAAAAATTGCACCCCCCCACCCCCACCCCTACATAAAGTAACAGAGCCTATTCCACTTGGCAATAGTATGTTGGCCGAAGCCATTATTGGCACTCAAACCACATAATAATTACAAAAGTAAAAGTAACCAAAAAATATATGTATTTCCAAACAAGTCTGCAATTAAACTGCCAAATTGCATCTGCAGGTGAAGAATCTTAGCACCACAGAGCGCTGGCACTGTTATAGCCAACCAGAACAATTATTGGTAAATTTAATTAAGAGAAGATAATGTAGATTCCATTCGTTCACCTACATGTACAAGACGACTTAGAAAGAACAGATAGTTTCCACTTCAGGAACCTAAACACAGTATCATCTAAACAGTTCCACCATGACTAAACAAGAATAAAAGCAAATAGAGAAAAGGAACCTGTACGATTCAATTAACCTAATGCGTAAAGTTTTGCAACAAAATATTCCCCTCCCAAACACAAAAATATTATATATACATCACAATGTCGAATGTCAAAACAACATTAACATTATTCCCACATAGATAAATCATTCAAAAGCTAAAAACTTTACACTAATGCCAACCTCAGAAACCCTCCACTGTTATCAAATAAAAAACTATTAAAATATCAAACCCACCAAAAAAGAAGTGATAAAACAAGGCAGAAACATCAAAAAGGACAAATATCAAATCAAAACAAAAATAGGAAGAAACTATAAATTTGACAGATTTAAACAAAAACAAGAAACTAAAATTGAAAAAAGGTGATAAATTTATATACCCAGAGGGAAGATTATCAACAAAAGTGAGCAACATTTTGAGCTTAGACCCTCCTTCGGAAGCTAAACCAGCATGCATCTCAACAGCCATAGCATCAACAACTTGTTTAAGTCTTCCGACGGTGGTTTCACACCCTTCTTCCAACTCTCTCAACACTCCCATAACTCTCTTCCACTTCCTTCTACTTTTAACTCTCTTTCCCACCACCACTCCCGCCACCAGACACGCCGCCACCGCCACCCCAACCGTCACCCCCACCATCACACCTCTCCCCATCTCTTTCTCACTCACTCACTCACTCACTCAAAACTCCCTCTCTACACAACCATGTAACTACCCTTATACTAAACCTTCTGTCTTTGATCAATTACCCCCAGAAAACGACACCGTTTCACCATGGAAGCCTGTTGTATCTGTTTAAACATAAACCAACAACAAAACCCAGATAAAGATCCTCAAAAACCCACCGTTCAGACTCGATTTTCTGATTGAAAACAACCCGTTCGATGAAATGCTCAAGAAAAAAGTTAACTTTTTTACAAATTACAAGAATTTTAGAGAAACAAAGTGAAGAGTTGATTTTTTTTATTTTTTATTTTTTTTAATTTTTATTTTTTTGATTTCTGAGGGAGAGAGAGCAAGTTGTAGTGCTGGAAAGCGAAGGGGAGGAGTACTTATATGGAAAGTGGAATGACGGATATACCCTTGCGAAAGACCATTAATGGCAGATTTGTTAAGAGAATCTTTAGATTTTCTTTTTTATTAATTTACCGTTTGTGAAAGATTTGATGAGGTTAATGAGGATTTTTGACTATCTTTTTTGTGTACCAATGTTGCCCTTGAAGTTGGTGGATATTACGGTCTTGCCATTGACAACCTTTGTGAAAAGTCGGCTACTTTGAAACAAGAAGATGTTGTTGTTGACTAAAAAGGAAGCTAAAAAAATTGACCCCTCAAGATTTCATTTAACAACAAAAATTCATATGAATGGTTAGAAATTGTACTCTTCCAAGTTATCGAATAATTCTCGGATTACCATTTCTTTATTTTAACGCTTAAAATTTAACTATTAAGAAATTTTTATTATTTTGAAAACCTTAACGGGTTAATATGATAAAATCTAAAAATCGACAAAGACCCTTTTGAATTAATGTGGTGTAAACAATCTTAGCAGAGAGAGTTACTTGTAAGCTTAAAAGTTGTGGCATTTACATGGAATTATGACTTGTAATCTTACCTACTCTATTTCATTATATAACTGTGCCTAATCATATAATATAAAACATTCATATTCAAAATTTAATATTCCTAACATGAAAACGCCATTATAATGACACACAAAAGAGATGATTATAGAAATTTAATAAGTCTAATCTACTCAATTAATAAAACCCAATTATATTTTTTTTGGTTATGATAGAGTACTAAAATAAAGCATTTTACGTTGATGTACAAATGCAACAAATATTGTAGTAGAACCCACGTATATACAAGGGTGATTGTGATACAGGTATTCGTTGATTTTGTAAAATGAGCTTTTCAAAAAAGCTTTCATGTACATATAAAAATCCTCATATGTAGACGTCTTATATTTTTTAAAACGTGTATGTCCATCGATAAAAACACTCACAACAACTTTTTTACAATTTTTAAAGCAAAAGATTATATTCGAGTTTTTTATCTTTTAGTTAATCAACAAGAGTAATTGGTTATCAAGATATGCAAGAGATACTGAATATATATTATTATTTTGATGACCAATAGTGTCTAGACCAGCTCGTGCATACCTCAACTAATCATTTAAGATCCTAAAGTTAGGTAAACTCTTCAGTGGCCACCACTATTAGTAATTAAAGGGAATCGAACATAAGACTTATTGAGTAATATATCTAAGAGTCTCTATTATCCCATCTGACTACCCAATGATGGTTTACGTGTGTGTGTGTGTGTGTGTGTGTGTGTGTATAATGACGTATAATATTAATGGATGATGTTTTTACCTAAAATATGAAGTAGACTCCAATTGAAGAGAGCAATTAATAGAAAGATGGGCAATGGTAATGGCAAAGGCTTTTTGACAGTTTTTTTGAATGCTTAAAGGAATAGTACGGAAGTGACATAACAAGAGTGAAATGGTTAGGAATACACATAAACATTTGTTGGTTATAAATGCTATAACTAAATTTGTACAATTGTCCCTTTCACACCCCTCCTTCCACTTAATTTTCATAATAACATGTAGGTTTGGCAATGATTTGTTCAATTTTTCATCCACTTTTTAATTAGGCCTTTGGTTGGATCATATATATGCTTATCCCCTATTGTTACTTTTTTTTTTTTTTTTTTTTTGGGTTATCTCTATTTTTATCCATTCTTGCATTAATATGTTATCTCTATTTGATATCTATTTTAGGGTTTTACATTAATATGTTGATGGTAACCCGTTTATGTTGATGTTGATTACACGTATCCTGTTTAAGTTTAAGGGATCTCAACCCATGAACGTAAAATGATCAATATTATTACACATTGGGGACAGAAACATATGTTTAAAAAGACTATCAAAAGATTCAAAACCGATTAAAAGAGTTATATAATATTATTGTTGATAATAATATTTTTACAAAATTTTGTTCTTATTTAATTTATAATGAGCACAAAGATGGTGAAATATTAATGAAATTTGACATGAGAATATTTAAAACCAATGTTTGAGATATAAATTAAACATAAAAATAAAAGAGAAAAAATAGCACCACCAAAAACAAGGGCATTTTTGTAAAATCAATGAAATCCCCATATCCACCCACCAAAAGTCCAAAACCAAACACCAACCAGCCTGATTCGGAAAAATCCCAAAAACAAAGAAAATTCGAGATCCCATTCAAAATTTAGCAAAGGGGAAAGGGCAAAACGGGAAAACAAAAATTAAAATTAAAAAAAAGAAATGGCATAGTGGGCAACAGGGCAAGGCAAGACAGAGCTTTGATTCTTTGTCTATATTATTTTCATTAATTTAATTATATTAATAATTTATTTATAAAATGAAAATGGAAAAAGAGATGAAACGGCGACGGGAGCAGCGTATCCGCCGTCTGCGATCGTACGTACAGAAACAGTGCCAGCTGTCTCCCGCTAATTCCAGCTGTGCTCACAAATAAAAGTCGTCTATCTTCTCTACCATTCTTTTTTTTTTTTTTTTTCGACTTCTGTTTTGACTCTTTATATTATTTTATTTACATTTTACTTGGAATTTGTTTTCTTATTTTATTTGGGGAAAATAATTAGTTGGAAAAAAATAAGGACAGAAATTGAGGTAAGACCGTAATCATCTATATATCTGTCCAATAAAATTAATCTTATTTAACGGTATCATATTATTAACTTTATATGAGAAAAATAAATCTAGAATATTACCAATAATACCATATTATTTATGAATGATTTTGTATAGTTAGTGAGGACTTCGTTCACCCTTCATGATAATACTATTGCATAGATAATTATTTAAAAATAGTCATATCATTTTGCTTATTAGGATTGAAGAGAGAAAATAATGTTCGCAATAATGAAATTAGATTGATATTGTAATCCTTTCTAATATATATAGTGTTGAAAATATTATTTTATACTTTAAATATCCAATAAATATTATTGATTCGATAATGTTATAAATAGTTATATATAATAAAAACAAAATTGTTAATTAATATTAACAATTTAGGAAGAATTAATGTGAAATTTTAAAATCTTACATGTGGTAATTTATTTATTCTAAATACCATAAAAAATTTCCTCTGAAAAATACTATTTTATAGATTTAAAATAATCTATATTGTCGTTCAATTTATTATTTATTATTTATTTATCATATATTGTTAGATTTGATAATATTTTATAAAATAAAAAGTGCCATAAATTATTTTGTAAGGACCAATACTATATAGAAACATTATAATAGCATACCTTTAAAGTGTACAATTGTACTTATAAACTATATTTTATATGTGACCTAATTAAGTATTGGGATATTATCATATTATAAAATTTTAATTCGTATAATTCAATGCATTATCATACATTGTAGCAAAATCTTAATTTATTAATTAATATTATATCAAACAAATTTATTCTTGTCTTATATTATGCATATAGGAATGACACAATCAAAATCAAAGTTGAGGTTGGGGACAACCTCTCAACCAAGATTGGGAGTCTTTGAGCCAACCCCATCACTATGTTTATTTGGAAAATGTTACACCCACAACCCTTTCTCACAACTCCGACGTGATAACTCACAATTGGTCATTTCATAATAGATCTCACTTGAGTCACACCTAATAAATTGCGAGTTGTTACGTTAGAGTTGTGAGAATAAATTGTGGATGTAGCATTATTTGTGTTTCTAAAGTCGGGGTTGGGTGTTATATTAGAGTGTTAGACCATTGACCTCGAATAAAAATACTCATAAACTAGGTAATTCCACAACGTTGAATGATCGGGATAAAATCAATGACATTACAAACTCAAAACAAATCTACAATTGTTAATTACTAATTTTTTATTATAAAGGTAATTAAATATATTATTTTCCTATCTATATTTTCTTCATAATTAAGAAGGAAAAAAAAAAAAGGGTTTTGTTTGGCTCAAGTTTGGGAATACTACTTTTAGTATTCCCAATAAAGTTAAATAGTAAAATGCCCAAAAACTCATAATATTATTCAACTTTTTTTAAACCCCTTAAATTTGTTAATTTAATTAAATACCCATAAATATTTTTTTTTTAAATTGCAAAAACACCCCTAAACCCACATTATACCAGATTTCGGCCACCATCTTACCGGTAGTGTGCTGATCTAGCCTTTTCTGGCCAAATCCACGGTGGATCTAACTGAAAAAGGCCAGATCTAAGGCCAAAGATCTGGCAATTGACGGCCAGATCTTTGGCCGTAACTAGTCGTCAACGACTGCCGTATCTTTGGCCGCCGTAGATCTGACCGGAAAAGGCCATATCGGCCCACGACCGACAAGATCCAGTCGGTCATACGCCGATACGGCAACTCCGGCCACCCTCCGACGGTGGTGGCTGGCTGTCCGTATTTGATAGGTGGGTTTGGGGTATTTTTGTTAACTTTTAATGTTTTATTATAGGGGTATTTTGTAAAAAAAAAACATATGGAGTATTTTATTAATTTGTAAATCCTACATCGTAATACCTATTTAATTCAATTTTTTTAACTTTTTTCAAAAAAAATTTCTCAAAAACGTAAAAATGTAAACCAAACGAGAGCCAAGGTGATTTGTGATGGGACTAGTCAAAACTTTAATTGGTACACAAAATCAATCTTTAATCCTCTCCATGTGACATTATAAATTTCATGTTTGCTATCAATTATGGCAATTACAATGTCGACACCATTATGTAGATCGCCGACTAAAAAATCCAAGTTTTTATATTACAAAACAATAATACTATTAAATAGTAATTGACTTGTATCTTATACGATACAAAATATGACTTGAATAGTTAAAATCAAAAAGTAATTTTATAATATAAAATAAATTAAAACTAGAGAGAGATGACAACTACTTTATTATGTTGATTAATTAATTAATTAATTGAAA